CAAGTTGCAAACTTTGTGACGACAATATAAATTGTTATCAATGGGAGAAGATGAAAAGATTATATGCAATGTGTCGAAGATGCAAAAAATCGTCCATCTTTTGAAGGATGTGGTGAAACCCTAACTCATAAGATGATAGTTGAGAATGTAATGCACCACTCACTTTGATCACGTTATCTTAGCTATTGAAGAATCCAACCAACTTGAAACCCTAAAACTAGAAGATTTGGTTGGTTCGTTTGAAGCACATGCGATTAGGATTGTCAGCAGGAAAGGAGTTCAAGACTTGATACAAGCACTATAGGCTCAGTCATGGAAAAATAATGGTGGTTCAAACAAATTCAAAGGAAAATTAGACAAGACTCAAGGCAAAAAGTCTTGGTCGAACTTTCACAAGAATAAGGTCGATGATAGGGCTTCTGAATCCTCAAAAACAGGAGAAGGAAAATCCTATCAGAAAGACAACGAAGAGAAAAAAGGTGTGCAATGCTATAACTATGAAAAGTGGGGTCCTTAGCCAAGAATTATTGGTACATGAAATACAAGTGATCGACAAAAGTCAAGGATAAAGGAGCAAACCTTGCACGCTAAGATTCAGATGATTATGATAATATGGTAGTATGGTTGCAGTTGTAGATGACAATGTCGAATATAAGATCTGGTTCCTAGACTTAGGTTGCTCGAATCACATAATTGGTCGAAAATTGTGGCTTGTATATTTCTACGAGTCGAAGAAAATAAAGGTTGAACTTGATGATAATAGCTCATTACAAGCAGAAGGTACTGGAAATGTAGTTATTCAACGGAGTAATAGAGCGAAAGCTTTAATCAAAGATGTACATTAAGTACCTAGCATGATGTGAAATCTACTAAGTGTTGGACAACTGGTCGAAAAGGGGTTCTCAATGGTTATGAAAGGTGGAGCATTAGAACTTTTTGACATCTAGAATAACTTGGTCTTGAAATCTCCTCTATCGAAGAATATGACATTTAAGACCATGATCAGTTCGACAGAGGTACAATGCTTGAAATTAGTTGTCGACCACAACAGTAGTTGATTGTGGCATTTCAGGTTTAGCCATATTAATTTTAGTTCGCTCAATCAAATGATTACTCAAGAGATGGTAAATGGCATACCAAGTCTTGTGATGCCCGACAAACTTTGTGAAGGTTTTTTAGTAGGAAAGCAATCCAAAAATTATTTTGTTTCGACTATGCCAATGAGATCGTCCTGTATACTCGAAGTTGTACATTCAAATGCATGTGGCTTGTTTGAAGAGCATACCATTGGTGGAAACCATTCTGGATCTATGAGATCAAGCAAAAGGATGAAGTATTAGAAATATTTAAGAGATTCAAGATACTTGTCAAAAACCAGAGTGAAAATAAGATCAAAGTTTTGAGAATAGATGGAGGTGGCGAATACACATCCAAGATGTTTGAAGACTTCTGTTCAGAACATGGTGTCAATCATGAGGTAATTGTTCCTTATATGCCTCAACTTAATGGAATTACAGAAAGAAGAAACAGAATCATATTGTATATGGCAAGATACATGCTGAAGCAGAAGAATTTGCCAAAATCTTTATGGGGTGAAGTTGTTTCGAGTGCAGTTTATATTTTGAACAGGCGCCCTACTAATAAATTGAAGAACAAGGTTCCTGAAGAAGTATGGAGTGGCAAACGACCATCAGTGAGTCATCTGAAGGTGTTTGGCTCTATGTGTTACAAGGATGTTCCTGATGCAAGAAGAAGGAAGCTTGATGACAAGAGTGAACCTATGATTTTGATAGAATATCATAAAATTGGGGCTTACAGGCTATTCAATCCAATCAATGATAAAATTTTGATAAGTCGAGACATTGTGATTGATGAGAATTCTGCATGGGATTGGAATTTTGATGATGCAATTTATAAGCCATTGATGAGTTATGGATTCGACGAGGAAACTAATGAATTCGAAGTAAAAGAAATTGTCAATATTCTAGTCAAAGTCGAAGTAGTTCTTGACATTCTCGACACAGTCAAAGTTGAAGAGGGTGTGTCTATAACAAGCCAAATACCTCAAAGAACTAGAATTCGTCTAGCAAGACTTCAAGACTATGAAGTGACCGGTGATGACAAATTCACACCAGATGGAGAATTAGTTCATTTTGCTTTACTTACAGGTGTTGAACCAATCAACTATAGCGAGGCTTTAAAGAATAAATAATGAAAGTCTACTATGGTCGAAGAGTTATAGGCAATAGAAAGAAATAACACATGGGAGTTAGTTGAATTTCCAACACACACAAAAGATATCAAAGTTAAGTGGGTGTTTAAGTTGAAACACAACGCAGATGGGTTGACAACAAGACATAAGACGAGATTGGTAGCTCGAGGATTTCTTCAGAGAGCACGACTCGACTACTATGAAGTATTTTCTCCAATAGCAATATTGGAGACTGTTCGATTAATGGTAGCCTTGGTATGCAAGCATGGTTGGTCGACATTTCACTTAGATGTGAAGTCAACATTTGTGAATGGTCCTTTAGACGAAGAGGTCTACGTTACACAACTTCTAGGGTTTATGATTCATAAGGAAGCGAGTAAGGTATATAAGTTTCACAAAGCGCTCTATGGCCTCAAGAAGGCACCTAAGGAATGGAACAAGAAAATCGACTTATACTTAGTCGAATTGGGATTTGTAAAATGCAAGTTTGAGTATGGTGCCTATGTTTAGGTAGTAGCACAAGAGATAACAATCATCTGCTTATATGTCGATGATTTGCTGGTAACTAGAAATAGCTTGGAGAACCTGTTAAAGTTCAAAGAGCTAATGATGAGAGAATTTGAAATGTCGGGTCTGGGAAAATTGTCTTATTTCCTAGCTGTGGAATTTCAAATGTCGAAGCATGGGATGGTGCTACATCAAAGAAAGTATGTCAAAGCGATACTCAAGAGACTCAGGATGGATTATTCGACTCCAACATCTTCGTCTGTCGAACCAAATTTGAAGTTGGAGAAGCCTAGAGAGGAAGATGAAGTCGATGTAACTTTGTTCAAACAAATTGTCGGATCTTTGAGATATGTATGCAACAGCCGGCCTGATATAGGTTTCACAGTCGGATTAGTGAGCAAATACATGAGTGAACCAAGGGTGTCACATATGAAAGTTGCAAGAAGAACTATGAGATACTTAAAAGGATCCATAAACTGTGGAATCCTATTTTGACGAGATTCTAAAAGCAAAGAAGCTACTATTACTTGATATTCAGATGTTGATTGGTGTGGAGATAAGGAAGATCAAAGAAGCACAACTGGTTATTTCTTTTAAATATTTGGTGCCCCGATCTCATGGTGCTCGAGAAAGTAACCTGTGGTGGCAATGTAATTGTGTGAGGCTGAATATATAGCATGATCCTATATCGCGTGTCAAGAGAATTGGATCAGATATGTGCTAGAAGAGATCGAGGTCAAAGTGAAAAAACCTCTAGTGTTGCATATTGACAACAAACCAGTCATTAATCTTGCAAAGAATCCAGTTTTACATGGAAGAAGTAAGTATATCGAAGCTAGATTTCACTTCTTAAGAGAGAAGGTAAATCGAGGTGAACTTGAAGTAAGACATTGCTCAAGTGGAGCACAGTTGAGCGAATGATTGAAGATCGACAGATTTCTGAATTTAAGAAAGAAATTTGGAATAGTTCAGATCGACTGTGGCTAGCGTATGTTCGATAACTTGGATTATGAGAGTATATTTAAATATTAGATATAATATTTGATATAATCCAAGTTGTGTAATCTAAACTCAAGCCCAATTAAGATTTGTTAGGCTACTTAGTATACAAGTTAGTTGTATATAAATATATTAATTTTTAAATTAGTTTGTAACAATTCAATACAATAATATAATTCTTATTTCTTTATTCTCTATTTCTCCCCGCACTAAAAATGTCTCACTCATTAACAATAATCGTTTGAAATACTTAAAAGATATAAGTAATGAACTCAATAAAAATAGAGTTTTATTATCATTGTTAAGCTCCACATCAATATTTTGTAAGTCGATGATGATCTTGTGAAATTTGATAAATTGTTCCGTCCACCATTTAAAATAAAAAGAGTTATTATTTTATACATAAGACAATATTATATATAATGATTCAAACATAATATTATATATAATAATTCAAACATAACTCACTCAGTTTTGGTCTTCTCTTTGACAACTTTTCTTAAAACTTTTATCTTTGAAACATAAGATAATCATATTTTTAACTTTATTCACCATTTTTATCTTCTTTATTTATGTTAACTTCGCTCAGTTGTAAATTTAATCCATTTTTAATATATATATATATATATATATATATATATATATATATATATATATATATATATATATATATATATATATATATATAGAATATTTAACGATTGTGATTTACTATAGTGTAAAAATTTTTTTTACTGTTATTATATTCTAACTAAATTTTATGGTAAATTTTATATGCACGAAAGCATGTACGTACCGTTGATCGTGTCAAGAAAATGCAACCATATAGACAAACTTACCTACTACTATTATGCCACATAAGACAATTGGACCCACTTGTCACGTGAAGAACGGCTCCATTGCCACGTAAGAACAAGCAATTACGTTTGGTACTGTTCCTCATGTAGAATCTCTCCTAATCTTCTCTCCACCAATCCCCATTTCACTCCCACGTGCTACATTGGGTCCCACTACATATGCCTGACACTATTCTAATATTAAATTCATCCGCCACTTTATCTTAAATCTTTTTTTATACAATCCTCACTGTAACCATTTCTGTTTACCATTTCTTTTTATTATTATTATTATCTTACAACAATCTATACCTTATGCCGAACCACCTTCCTTCTAAATTCGACCATTTCATTTTCTTTTCTTCTTCTTCTTCTCTCTTTTTTACCTCATCTTCTCTCTATATATCTTCCACTCTTTCTTTTTTTTCTTTATATAATCAAATACTATGGAAGACTCTCCTGCTACTTATATCCACTTGGTGAGTCTTAATTTTTTTACTTTAATTTTAATCCTTTTTTCTTCAATATTATTTATGATTATAATTTATATGTAATTTTTGAATATATATAGGTGCACCGTTTGATAGAAGAGTGTATGTTATTCAACATGAGCCAAGAAGAATGCATGGAGGCTCTTTCCAAGCATGCAAATATCAAACCAGTTATCACCTCCACTGGTAATTAATTTTATTAAATAAGTTTTTTTATATATATGTCATGATCACTTACCAAATGAATTAATCAGCATATTATAGCTAGCTACTACACAACAAAACAATTAGGCTGTATGGTGGTGTATATGTTAACGTATACCAATTTTCAATACTATAAATGTTCATAATGTCATCAATTGTATGTTCTTTTGTCTTGTTTTACATATAATCTAGATAGTTGTTATTGAACATGTAAATTAATGATAAATTAATGTGCATGTAGTTTGGAAAGAGTTAGAGAAAGAGAATAAGGAGTTCTTTGAGGCATATTTGAAGAACAGAGTAGAGAGAGCTTCAGAGACAGAGACGAGGCAAAGGATACAAAACATGGTTTTGGATTTTTCTAAATAACAAGTTTAGATAATTTCATACGCAAATTAATAAGGTTAGTTTAGATGTTTTCAATTAAATGAAGTTTGAAGAAGCTAGTTGTCTATGTGTATAATAATAACATAAAATGATTAACATCACAATCATGTAATAGTAAAAACCGTGACAGGGACAAAATAATATTGGACCATGGAACAACATAGTCATATCATTGTATGGGCGGCATAAATGGCTTCATTTGATTTGTTTCAAGGTATAGAAAGTTGAAGTCAGCAACTCTACAGTGACATGGCATGCAATGTGTTATACTTAATAAAAATTTGAAACATGTGTGTTAGAGTATGAGTACAACTTGTGCAACTTAAGTATGAGAGTATTCCAGCGATGTGAAATGATGCTTGATCCTTAAGTATGTGAATTGAGGTCGTGATGCTTGCGAGTTTAGACAAGACGTGTTTCCTGGTGTTCTGCTCATTGGAATAGGTAGGATTTCATGTGATTTAAACCTCGCTAGTTTCTCTCTTTGTAGGGCGACGTACCATTATAACAATGGGTTCTTTGGTTTGCGATTCCCATTTGAGATGGGATACCCCCATTTCCTGAACATGACCACATAACCAGGGGTCATTTCTGCTATGAAGTGTGTAAATATTTGGGCTTATAGCGCCTTCTTAGGCTCAAAGGAGATTGAAGTTGTTCTGTCTCCTAGGATTTTTCCTAGTTTATGTGTTGTTGTTTGTCATTTTTTTCCTTTGATTTCTTTGTCATAATTGAGTCTTTTCACATAGTTACGCATTCTAAGGTTGAGTTTTAAATCATTTTTATGTATGTATAAATTGAACCATTTGTTTAAAATCGGTGCAATATCGTTCTAGTCAATCAGTCATAGGTTTGAATCAATAAATACATGAAAGCATGATTCGAATCATCCTAAGTCTCTGATTCAAATAAACACTTTGAATATGATACTAAAAATTTGATTATGTATTTCTTATTTTAATCATGAAAAAATCTGGATGGGATAAAAGATTGAACTTAAAAATATAAGATTTTACATCTGTATTTCTGATTTGACTCATAGAAAAACATGACTCGAATCATGGAGAACTTGATTCCTATCACAATATAGTATGACTCGAATAAACAATTACATGTGCATTTTGGATTTTGATTATATATTTATGATTCGAATCAAGAATTTGTGTGACTGAAATTAATGACTCAAATCATGAAATAATTTAGTTCAAATCATAAATGCAGTTTTTTGGTTTTTAATTCGTGATTCAAATCATCTATTCATTCGACTCTAACTATACCATTTGTTCTTGACTAGAATCAAATGAGTATTTATACATTTTTTTTTTCTTTCAATCTCTCTCACAACATAACATGCATATGATTTTAAAATCCTACCATGCACAACACACTTTTCTCTTTCTCCCCCATCTCTTTTAGATTTCATTTAGAATTTTATGCTTGGGATTTATTTTTTAATTAGGAATTACATGTCGTTAGATTTTACCGCCGTCGTAGAGATTTCTTGTATAAAATTAAGTACGTGTTAAATCGAGATTATGAATGATCATACTTCTGATTCAAATTAGAAGTTATATTCATATATTTCTTTATCAATTGAGTAATATTGATTTACATATCTCATGTAAGATGAATTTAGTTTAATTAAGGAATTGATTGCTTTAACTTTTTCATCTTTCTTTTGGAGTATAAATATATACAACACAATCATTTCAACTGCATCTATTATACAAAACTCCACTACCCTGAGCGATTTTATAAATCTCTAATTTTTAAAAGTAAACGTTTTCTTAAATTGGTCTTTTAGGGAACAATATATCCAACCCCTATTCTATATCATTTAAATTTATATTCTCCCCCAGCATAGATGCCAAACTCAGACATTTCAATAGACTATTTAAGCGTCTGTCTTGCTAGTTTGTCCAGTGAATGGTTTGTTTAGGGAGTTAGTCAGTTCAAACGATGATAATGTGTTCTAGGAAGTAGCATCGTAAATTCTTAGAGGAGGTCATCAATGCTAATATGTAACACTCTTTTGACTTCACATGAATTTCTCATTGATCTGCTGTCGCACACCGATCAAAAACGAGTATTTTATAAAATGCAGTATAGCGACAATGACTCGAATCGTATCGCAAAGATTTTTGATTTTATTATTAACTAATAGAAATCGAATGGGGAGTTGGTTTTAAGATCGATTTATAACACGAAATAAGTGATTATAAAAAAAACTGAAAAGTCAATCTGCTGATTCGGTTCCTACCTATCATCGGCTATCGTAATTCCAATTCTCTAAGCGGATTGTTTATTTCTATTCAAGTACAAACTCAGTGACAAGCGCAATGAGAATAGTGTGATGTAAGTTCCTATTATTCGAATTAAGCAAACAGAATTAAGTCTCATGAATTAAGCAAACATGAATTAATCGGACACAGTAACGAATTAAGCAAACGTTGACGTGACAATGGTTAGGATCATACAATCAATCGAATTAAATCAATATACTCTATACAATTTGAATTAAGCATACAAGAACATAAATTAATATTGGAACGAAATAAAAGATGAATTAGAATTATTATAACCTCAAGGTGTTAGAATCTGAATACAGCAGATTGTCAGGATGAATTAGTTCTCCATGAAAATTCGTACAAAAGACAAAAGTAATTTTTCTCAATAATCCAAGGTTACAATCAACAGCGTACGGCTGCCTAGATATACGTGCACACAAGAGAATTCGAGTCAAGACCCAACTGGGTCAAAAACATAACCCAGATCCAAAACAAATGACCCAAAATTTAAATAAAACTAAAGCTGCAACTTCAACGACTTTTTCAACCTTACTACAGTCCGAATCAGCTTCTGACTCCAAAATAAAAGTTGTAGATCTGTCTCTCAACTTTCTAACGATTATTAGAACGCGGTGATCCGACTTCCAAAGCTTCAGTTATGATTTTTTCATTGAAAGCTGCTAATGCTGAAAATAAAATACGAAAATCAATTAAAGGTTAAAATGAACTAAATTATAAAAACATCATAAAATAGAAAAATAAACAAAATAAACTATGGAAATGCCTAAGTACAAACATAAGAGAATGTGCATCAATATGCACTGATCAAATTCCCTCATACTTAAACTTTTGCACTCTGAGCAAAAAATAAAATCAAAACTCAAGAAACGCAACAGCATCACAGTTACTCATTCCAGGCTACAAACTCTTCTTCGGTTAAGATTGCATCGATAGGTACTAATTTTGCACACTAAGGATATCATAGGAACACTACATCCCAATTGTGCAGTCATAAGCCTCCTGAATATACAATCCAATTCAAAAAATGTTATTATGCCAAAGTCTAACTTACTCATTCTCTTTTTTGGCACAATCAAATTAAGTTCGTTATCTCCACACACTCATAGTAAGGCGACTGATTAGTGACTCTGATCCTTTTTGAATGGGGTTCTGGTACATGAATGGTATAACCTTTTGCTTACTCAATTGTAGTTGCGGAGGATCGGACCGTAATCTGCCCTACCAAGTTCAGCACCAGAAACCTCTGAACCAACCAATAACAGGTCTGACAATCAAATTTTATAGGTTCCACAACTGTTGGGTTAAGTGATCGGGTGAGGGTTACCAAACTTAGAAGGTGCATTTCCTATTTTTTTTCTTCAAATAAAACTTGTATCATTCACTTATACTCATCGGCTTCCCTACGTAGAGCATGTGTGAGATGGTGTTGACTGCTAAGATAAACTACTCAAGAGCTGTTAGAGAATGAGAATTCAAGGCTATGTCATAATAATTATTCAAATTAATTTTCATATGCAAGAGACTTACGGTGTTAAGACGATACCGATCTTGCAAACTTTTTCCAAGTCTCCACAACTAACCAGATTAATCTATAATCCAAAACTTTCAAAAAGATGTATTTTTTTAATAACAACTGAAAACAAAACAAAACAACGAACAACGGCAAAGAAAACAAAACAAATAAATGATTCTCTCCCTCACACTTAAAACATACATTGTCCTCAATGAAATAAATAAGTATAAAATAAGAGCGAAGAGAGAGAGGAAAGAACACATTCGAGGAATCAAGTCGGATAGATGATTGCATAAGTAGTCTTTCCCAATGATAGCTCTTTTATAGTTTCCTCTTCTAACGTGAGACTCTCATGGAATAGCTTGAAGCGATTTTCTTTGACTTTGAAATTTTTATGAGTACCTTCACTTTTTATTCATGGATTAAAGAATATTCTTCTAAAAGTAAAAGTGTCAAATGGGCACGTGAACATGATATCATCTTTCACAACATCAAGGATCAAAAGGTTACGGGGCTGCCTCACTGCTTTTGCTACATCTTCAAGTGAGATCCTATGCATACACATGGACAAACTAATATCATAAATATCATCCAAGGTCCATCCAATTCCTTTCTTATGCTTCTTCAAAATCTGCAAAAATTTACTTTCTTGATCAAAATAAAGTTTGGAAGAAATTATAACCGGAAGTTTTTCATTCATCTCTAAATAAGCATGTTTAAGATTTTCAGGAATTAGTTTCAGCTCTCGGGAAGGTGGTTGTTCGATGGATTATTTGTTTCGGGCAGCCAGAGTGTCGAGATATTCATCCACATGAACAACTTCATTTGCAATTTCATCTGCAGTAAGAATATAAATTTGCAAGGCAGTCTCAATTTCAACACAAACATAGCAAATTTTAGTGTCAGTACAAACATCACAAGAGTAAACATCATCAAAATCAGACAATGATGGAAAATCAACTGCAAAAAATCAGTACAAGTATCATCAACAGTCTCAGAAAGTAACTCTATTGGAAAAACATAATTCTCTTCCAAGGGTTGTTGGTTTGATCCTTGAGTTTGCTGCATGACATTCATCAAAGAGGCAAGATGTTCAATCTGTGTTTGCAAAGTCTTAAAAGTAGAATCTATTTGTTGTTGAAACTGGAGATTATTTGCAGCAATTTGTTTGACAATATCCTCTAGTGAAGGCCCAGAAAGTGCAGAGCACACAACCTGAAATTCCTTCAGATTCTTATGTGGATCCTCACCTGCAAGACCATTAAACTTTGATAACAAGTGTATTAAATCAGATTTCAATTCAGTAGGTGCATCAGCGGTAAGATAGTTAATACATAAATCA